CTTATTCTGAGGGCTGGGGATGTCCAGATTTAGATAATCCTCCTGCCCACAGATGCCCACAATGACCAGGCCAGGTTCATGGGGAAGAGGCCACTGTCCACATCAACATGGGGACAAGGTACTGAGCCAAAGGGGTCCTAAAGGAGCTCACGGGAATTTGCTGGGGACCCCACACTTTTTTTAAAATTTTGTGTTGGGTCCCCCTTGACATCCATACCAGACCCTCATGCCGTTTTCTTTCATTTGGGGGGGGGGGGGGGTTCCCATTAACATCTATATGAGAATCACATCTAAGATGCATGCCTGCAGGTTTGTTTACAAACAGAAAAAAGCTGTCAGAAGCTGTCATTTACAAACAATTTAAATAGCATTTTTAAATCTCACTTTTTCTGTAGTACAATATATACATTGTATACATGCACAATTTCATAGGAATGTTAAAAAAATCCTCATGCATGTTATTTACAGAAATTGTGAATTTTTAATTTCTTACTTTAAGCTTTAATAAAATTGCTGTTTCTCACCAAACTGAATTTTTTAAATGATTTGTACAAGCCCCCCAGGGCAGTGCCTAGCCCACCCCCCGTGTGATTTGTTTGATAATCCCTTGCCTATTATCTTAGAAAATGGCTACTACTGTTTTTTCAGTTTCAGCTCCTGTTGTCCTTTTGAATTCAGTAGGATTCCAACTGGGCATCCAAACTTCAGTAAAGTTTGCCAAACCCTCCACATACTGAACTTGGGAACATTTGCCCCATCACTAATCATAAAGCTGAGTCTTTATTTTGTGGTAGAGAGCACTCCTATATGTATGAAAAATCTCAGCCCCCTGAGACAGGAAACAAAAAGTTTCAAAAGTACAGAGTATAAAATTATTTTACCAATTGTTTGTAGGAACCTCATTTGCAACACACTGAATTCAATAAGTTCCTAACAATGTGATTGCCAGCAAATAGCAAGAGATTAAGTTTAAACCTGAAATGACACATATTTGGAATGTAACTAATATAGGGGCAGAATTGGTGTAATGTTAGGTTTTGGGTCAACTTATAATAGTGGAGCAATAACAATGCCAAACTATTTAAAGCTATCCACAATTCTGATTTGGGAAGTATACATGAGGAAATCTTGAGTGATGGGATCAAGGGATATTAGTACTGATTTATCCCAGTTTACTTTAAACACAGATAATAGTCTAAATAGGGTTATAAGGGCCATCAGAGAAGAGAGGAACTGGGTAGTATGCCCCAAGAATAGCAGAGGGTCATCAGTAACAGCACAGTTCCACCCTCCCAAGAACCTCTACAAAACTGTAATAACACTTGATTTCCTAACTGCAGGGGTTCCACTGCAAGTGCAAAAAGAAGTGTTGACAGTGGGTAACCCAGCCCGTTGCACTGCTGTAATCTAAAAAACCCTGACAATGTATCAATAAGCACATGGAAACCCTAACTAAATTACGTTTAGTTTGCTAAGGTACACAATTATATATTTTTAAAATACAGTACTTTAGTTTAGTTACTTTATCATCTCTGTGTCTCAGTGCTGCAGATCTCCTTCAACCCCGATGTTATTGCCATATGTATTCCTACTGAATGACAAGTATTATCTCTTCCTCAATCCACTTATTGTTGTCCACTAATTGATGCTAAAGGATACATTGTTTTATTGGAGGGGGGTTAAAATATAAAAAATGTTGTATTTACCTGCTATATGCAGCGATATTGCACAGAGTGGTCCTTACCTCTACTTTGACAGTCCCCCGTTAGCGCTGTCCACTCCTTCTTCCTCCAAGTGCCTCCTTAGTAAGCCAGTTGCTATGGAGGCCTATGGCTCCCCTTGCCCTCAGTGTCTCCCATGAGACCACAAAGTTAGAGAAGTGGTGCTGCAGCTAAGTTAGTGCTGGAGCTGTGAAAGCAATCAGATAAGTGTTTAGGAATGGGGTTGGGTAGAGCAGGTAGTGGCGTGTTTTCTACCCTAATTCAGGTAAAGCATTAAGGTAAAAAAGGCTTTGACTTTAGAACCACTTTAACAAAATATTTGTTTGTGATCCCTTTGATATTTCTGATCACCTTTCAGTCTGCGTGATACCAATGAAATAGATTGTAATTGAGAGGAAATATCCACAAATGGTGATGAAGTTCAGCTATGAGCGGTACTCCTTATAATGCTTAACTAGTATAACAGGTGGGTGTTCCTTATTAATAATATTATTATTATTATTATTATAATACAGGATTTATATAGCGCCAACAGTTTGCTCAGCGCTTTACAATATAAAGGGAGATAATACAGCAATGATACAGTTCAATACAAGATGGTTAGGAGGGCCCTGCTCCTTGGAGCAGATGATGGGGGAGGCTCTGGAGAAGTCCTGGAGATGAGCATGGGAGGAGGAGACAAGGGAGTTAGAGAGAAGGACGGTTTGGGTTGGACGGTTTGGGTGATATTTAAAGACAAGGTTGGTGATGTAATTTGGGGCAGAGTTACAAATGACTTTATATGTTATTGGTAATGTTTTGAATTTTATTCATTGGGCAATGGGAAGCCAGTGGAGGGATTGGCAGAGAGAGATGGCAGATATGGAATGGTTAGGAAGGTGGATGAGTCTGGCAGCAGCATTCATGATAGACTGAAGAGGAGATAGCCTGCGATTAGGTAGGCCAATGAGGAGGGAGTTACAATAGTCAAAGAGAGAGTTAACAAGGGAGTGAATAAGTTGCTTAGTGGTTTCCGAGGTTAGGAACCGGCGTATCTTGGAGATGTTGTGGAGGTGAAGTCTACAAGATTTGGACAGTGATTGGATTTGGGGCTAAAAGGACAGATGGGAGTCTAGGATCACACCTAGTACCCTGGCATGAGGGGAGGGACTGATTGTTGTATTATTGATCTTGATGGAGAAGTCAGGGGAGGGGGCATGGGCTGGAGGGAATAGTATGAGCCCCGTTTTGAAAAGAATTAGTTTGAGGAAGTGGAGTGACATCCATGCCGATATGTCACTTAGTAGGTTAGTAATGCGCAAGGAGACTGAAGGGGCGAGGAGTAGAAATATAGATTTGTGCGTCATCAGCATAGAGATGGTAATTGAAGCCACGGGAGTTTATCAAGTGACCAAGGGAGGAGGTGTAGATGGAGAAGAGAAGGGGTCCAAGGACAGAACCTTGAGGGAGCCCTACAGAAAGAGGAAGTGGAGAGGAGGAGACAGAGTTATAGCTAACATTGAAGGAGCGTTGCGATAGGTAGGAGGAGAACCAGGAGAGAGCACAGTTTCGGAGGCCAAGAGAGTGGAGTTTTTTGAGGAGGAGGGGATGGTCAACAGTATCAAAAGCTGCAGAGAGGTCAAGTAGTAAGAGTATGGAGTAGTGGCCATTAGTTTTATCAGTTAGTAAATCATTAGTGAGTTTTAGTAGGGCAGTTTGAGTAGAGTGTAGTGAGCAAAAGCAGACCTTAAAAGGTCAAGAAGGTGTTGTCAGTGAGGCAGGAGCACAGGTGATTGTAGACTAAGCGTTCTAAGAGTTTAGAAGTAAACGGGAACAGGGAGATGGGTCTTAAGTTGTTCAGGTTGGTGGGGTCCAGCGAGGGCTTTTTAAGTATGGGTGTCAAGGCTCCAGGGTATGACCAGAGGTATGTGACTGACGCAGGGAAACGCAGACTTCAGATATGTTATAAACAATATAATTTATTAAAGACTAACAATACAAACATAAACGCAGTGCACCAAACCCCAAGCTAACACAAATACATACAAGGTGAAACAAACCCAAACCTAAACTGATACAGGTACATACACATATAGAGCACAACGTGATCAGGCAGGCCGGGTCGATAACTATCGGGCAGGTAGGTACAGGAGGAGCAGGCGGAGAGAATGGTCAGGGTCACAAGCCAGGGATCAGAACAGGAGAAGTCAGCAGAGGTCAGGATCAAGCAGGGTCAGCAACAAGATAGGAACAGGAAACGCAGGTTTACAAGATACAGGGCCCAGGAAAAACACACACACCAAGGCAAAGACTGCAGGTCTGGCCATCACTTAAATACACCTGCATAAGCAGTTTCAGGTGTTTGGCTGGCTGCAGGGTTGAGTCTCTGATTGCTGGGAGCACCCGCTGGCCAGCCCTGGTACTGCAGCCCACAAGGCAGGTGAGTCCCACCATTACTGGCAAGTCCATTCCTGACAGTACCCCCCCCTCAAGGAGCGGCCTCAGGATGCTCCAAACAGTCCTAGCTGGGCTAAATGTTTCACCGCCCGGGTCTGGTAACTGGCGGGATATCAAAGACTGGCACATCGGGCTGGACTCCGGGTAGAGGCACATCGGGCTGGACTCCGGGCAGAGGCACATCGGGCTGGACTCCGGGCAGAGGCACATCGGCTGGACTCCCGGGCAGAGGCACATCGATCACCAGGCGAAGCAGCAGGCACCGGGCCACCAGGCGGAGCGACAGGCACCGGGCCACCAGGCGGAGCAGCAGGCACCGGGCCACCAGGTGGAGCGGCAGGCACCAGGCCACCAGGCCAGCTACAGGCATCGGGCCCCCAGGCGGGGCGAGATAGACATCGGGCCCCCAGGCGGGGCGACAGGCATCAGGCCCCCAGGCGGGGCGGCGGGCGCCGGACCCCCAGGCGGAGCGGCAGGTCTTGGGCCCCCAGGCGGGGCGGCGGGCGCCGGACCCCCAGGCGGAGCGACAGGTCTCGGGCCCCCAGGCGAAGCGGCGAGCGCCGGACCCCCAGACGGAGCGACAGGTCTCGGGCCCCCAGCGGAGCGGCGGGCGCCGGACCCCCAGGCGGAGCGACACGTCTCGGGCCCCCAGGCGGAGCGGCGGGCGCCGGACCCCCAGACGGAGCGACAGGTCTCGGGCCCCCAGGCGGAGCGGCGGGTGCCGGACCCCCAGGATGAGCGACAGGTCTCGGGCCCCCAGGCGGAGCGGCGGGCGCCGGACCCCCAGGCGGAGCATCGGGTCTCGGGGCCCCCAGGCGGAGCGGCGGGGCGCCAGACCCCCAGGCGGAGCGACGGGTCTCGGGCCCTCAGGCGGAGCGGCGGGCGCCGGACCCCCAGGCAGAGCGACGGTCTCGGTCCCCCAGGCGGAAGGAGCGGCGGGCGCCGGACCCCCAGGCGGAGCGACGGGTCTCGGGCCCCCAGGCGGAGCGACAGGCACCGAGTCACAAGGCACGACAGTGGGCTCCGAGTCAACTGGCATGACCGCTTGCACTGGGTCAGACATTGGATCGTCTGGCTGGACAGCGGGCATCGGGTCACCAGGCATCAGGTCATTTGGCTCAACAGCGGGCACCGCGTCATCTGGCAAGGCAGTGGGCACCAAGTCACCAGGCACGACAGTGGGCTCTGAGTCAATTGGCACGACAGCGGGCACCGGGTCATCAGGTACCGGATCGTCTGGCCCGACAGCAGGCACCGGGTCATCTGGCGCTGGATCGTCTGGCTCGACAGCGGGCATCGGATCACCAAGCATGACCGCGGGCACTGGGTCATCAGGTATTGGATTGTCTGGCTCGACAGCGGGCATCGGGTCACCAGTATGACAGCCGGCACTGGGTCACCAGGCATCAGGTCATTTGGCTCGCCAGCGGGCACCGCGTCATCTGGCAAGGCAGTGGGCACCGAGTCACCAGGCACGACAGTGGGCTCTGAGTCAATTGGCACGACAGCGGGCACCGGGTCATCAGGTACCGGATCGTCTGGCTCGACAGCAGGCACCAGGTCATCTGGTGCTGGATCGTCTGGCTCGACAGCGGCATCGGGTCACCAGGCATGACAGCAGGCACTGGGTCATCAGGTACCGGATCGTCTGGATCGACAGCGGGCACCGGGTCATCTGGTGCTGGATCGTCTGGCTTGACAGCGGGCATCGGGTCACCAGCATGATAGCGGGCGCTGGGTCATCAGGCATGGGATCGTCTGGCTCGACAGCGGGCATCTGGTCACCAGGTATGACAGCGGGCACCGGGTCATCAGGCATGATAGGATCATCAGGCTGGATCAGTTCATCAGGCTGGGTACAGACATCAGGCTGGGTACAGACATCAGTGCGGGTGCCGAGGCACCAGGCTGAACCACGGAAGGCAGGTTCTCAGACGGCAGGCTCACCGGTTTGGATACTGGCAGGATGGTACTGGTTGGAAAAATTTTCGCTTTTTTCTGGTTTTAACTACTGGAGCACTGCAAGTAAACGCAGGTCTGCAAACGAATGGAGCAGCTGGAACAGAGAAGAGCTGGAGGATGGAACAGGGGAGGGAACAGTTTGCTACAGAGGGCTTCTTTACAGGGTTAAAGGCAGGATAGGTGCAGCGAGTGGAAAACAGGGGGTACTGACATGCGGTAGATAGCAGGGTATACTGGGCTGTAACTGGAGGTGCTGTTGGGAATGCAGGAATAGAGCTTTGAGGAAATAGATTAGAAGCAGGACTGGGTTTTTTGTAAGCTGACTGAGGCTGGGTGCAACAAATCTGTCCATGTCTGCAGTATGGGTTGAACAAAGCTGAGCTTACACAAAGCCTGTCTGACCAAAGACTGCACTGCGTTTATACAATCCCTTAATACCTGTGGTGAACATGCAGCATAATGCTCCAAGAAGCAATCCACATCATCCTCTAAATAACCATACCAGGGACTCTACCTGGTCTGCACTAAATGGCGGAAAAAAGTCATTCCTGCTTTCAGGGGCACCAGATGAAGCCAACTCTACACAAACCTGAATCAAAGGTTGCACCTCAGAGAACTCTGTGCCCTGATCTACTAGAACATGAGAGCGATCCGTATACATTCTAGCAGTTGATCCCGGGTATACTCCCTCAGAGCCTGATAAGCATATTCTCTGTCATCAAAAACCAGCAGCGACAAATACACAACCTCATCAAGATCCATCTTTCCCAGCAACAAGCCAAGATGGCTTCCCTGTGCAGCCACTTCTGGTCAGGATTGGCCTTGGTGTAATGTCAGGCTCCAGGGTATGACCAGAGGTATGTGACTGACGCAGGAAACGCAGACTTCAGATATGTTATAAACAATATAATTTATTAAAGACTAACAATACAAACATAAACGCAGTGCACCAAACCCCAAGCTAACACAAATACATACAAGGTGAAACAAACCCAAACCTAAACTGATACAGATACACAGGTACATACACATATAGAGCACAACGTGATAAGGCAGGCCGGGTCGATAACTATCGGGCAGGTAGGTACAGGAGGAGCAGGCGGAGAGAATGGTCAGGGTCACAAGCCAGGGATCAGAACAGGAGAAGTCAGCAGAGGTCAGGATCAAGCAGGGTCAGCAACAAGATAGGAACAGGACAGGAACGCAGGTTTACAAGATACAGGGCCCAGGAAAAACACACACACACAAGGCAAAGACTGCAGGTCCTGGCCATCACTTAAATACACCTGCATAAGCAGTTTCAGGTGTTTTGGCTGGCTGCAGGGTTGAGTCTCTGATTGCTGCGAGCACCCGCTGGCCAGCCCTGGTACTGCAGCCCACAAGGAAGGTGAGTCCCACCATTACTGGCAAGTCCAATTCCTGACAATGGGAGTGCTCTGTGCATGCTTTAGAGGGGTGGGAAGGCACTATTAGAGAGGGAGAGATTGAAGAGGTAAATGTAGGGAGCATAGGACAAAAGAAGAAGGTGACTGTAGTAGTTGAGAGGGTCCGAGATCCAGGGGGCACGTGGTGAGACAGGCTTCTGAGAAAAACTTTAGTGACCTCTTCAGTAGTAGCATGGTCAAAAGAGGAAAGTGTTGAGGGAGATTTAGTACAAGGTTTGCTAAGTGGGATAGATGATGTTGCTGTGTAACACACAACAAAACAAGCAGAGATGTCCCTACGAATTGCATCAATCTTGTTTTTTAAATGATTTGCAATCTCGTAAGCAGTGAGTGAGTTACTGGGTGGTGGTGGAGAAATAGAGAGTTAAAAGTAGAGAAGAGACGACGAGGACTAGATGACAATAAGGACGTAGCGGACTAGATGGTAATAAGAGTGAGAAAGTAGGCTTGTTTGGCAGCAGGAGCAGGAATTGTATGTTAAGAAAGCAGATTTATATACAGGGAATGCTTGCTGAATTTGGTTTTTTATGCCACAATCGCTCCAGTGCACGACTATGTCACTTAAGATTTCTAGTGTTGTCAGTCTGCACAGTTGCAATGGTTGGGGCCTGATACTTTGTGTAGTTAGAGGAACAAGTGAGTCTAGTGTGGATGAAAGCGAACTGTTGTAGACAACAGTGGCCAGGTCAGGGCAGAACTGGGGAGAGATTCTGTCATAGAGGCGGTTAGTTGCAGAGTGAAAAAGAGAAGGGTTAAAGTTGTGAAGGTTTCTGTGGGTAATTGTTTGCTGCTTGGAGAGATAAGTGTTTGAAGACAAGAACACTGTGTAGGTGATGAGAGTGTGATCAGAGAGAAGAAAGGGGGGGGTGTTGTGAGGTTGTAGGGAGTGCAAAGATGGGAGAAAAACAAGGTCTAATGTATTCCCAATCAGAGTGAGTGAAGGACTGTGTCCATTGTGTTAAGGCAAAAGATGAGGTTAGGTTAAAGAGTTGGGATGTAGCTGGGTTGTTGACATTAATGGGGATGTTAAAATCTCCATGAATGATAGTGGATATTTCAGAGGAAAGAAAGAGTGTAGGGGTAGCCAAGCAGAGAAGTCATCAAGAAAGCGGGACACCGGTCCAGGAGGCCGATAGATCACTGTAATCCTCAGAGAAATTGGAGATAAAACAGCTAAATGCAGTGAGTCTTGAAAGAAGAGAAGGATAGAGAGGGAGGGGTAGGGAGCACTTGAAAGGTGCTCAGTGGGGGATAGAAGCAAACCAACTCCACCTCCTTTCAACCACTGGGTCTGGGTGAGTGGGTCCAGAGGAGGCCTCCATAGGAAAGTGCTGCAGGAGAAGAAGAATCTGATGTTTGAAGCCAGGTTTCTGTAATTGCTAGTAGGTTAAGGAGCGGGGAGACAAAAATGTCATGGACAGATGTGAGCTTATTACAGACAGAGTGGGTATTTCCAGAGTGCACATGAAAAAGGGAGGGTGGTTTTTAGGAGCATGGGAATTGAGAATAAATTGGGTGGATTGCGGCTATTGTTTATTCCTGCTGCTCGAGTTATCCTGCTTTAGTTAAATGGCCATGTTTAAACTGCTGTTTTGCACTGCAGCAGAAAAAAAGTGCACTCAGCTAGGACAATGCCCCATCTGCGACTGTACCTAACCCCCCCCCCCCCCCATCTGTGACCTCCCCATAAACTGGTCTAAATTTATAGGGAGATGATCAAATGAGTAACTCTTCTCCGCCCCAATTACAAACTGATAAGGATTACATGAGTTTGGGAGGAGGTTGGTCAAAACCAGATCAGTCTTGCACACAGGCCAGGGTCATAAAAGATTATTTATTCTCTGATTAAAGAAAGGCAAAGGAGGGGAGAATCAATCACCATGAACAGACAAAAAGATATAGGACTAATTATCCTGAGTTCTGCAGAAAGTCAGTGCATAGCAAGGAGACAGTTTAAGGTGGATACCACAGAACAGCATTTACCCTAAGTTTGCAGAAAGTGAGTGCATAGCAAGGAGTTAGTTTAAGGTGGAGATCACAGAACAGCATTTACCCTAAATTTGCAGAAAGTGAGTGCATAGCAAGGAGTCAGTTTAAGGTGGAGATCACAGAACAGCATTTACTTGTGAAAAAGCATAGAGGACATGATCAGAAGCCTGTGTTCAACTGCTGTTTTGCACTCCAGTAGAAAATGGATGACACCATGGAATACCAAGATGGAAAGACAAGTTCTCAACCAGGGGCGGACTGACAACTCAAGGGGCCTGCGGGCAATAGGGAATCATGGGGCCCCTGTGTCCTTGCCCAAACTCAAAAAAGCCTATGAAAAAGGTACCAGGGGTATCTCATGGGGCCCCCTACTGACCCTGGGCCCTCGGGCTGTGCCCGAGTTTCCAAATGGTCAGTCCGCCCCTGTTCCCAAAACCTTGGCAATATATATTCATGTTAATTTTTTTAAAAAAAAACATCATCACATAAATCAAGAATAGCCAATGTTTCCAGACCTCGCAGGTTCACTTCCCCAGGGCATCATAGTCCAAAATGTCTTTTCTTGGCTTATCTGACACTGCTTTCATGTATAAAAGAGTGAAAAGGAATATTTACTGAGTGCTGGTTACTTGGTATTTCCCAGCTTTGTTTATTGTGGGCTATACTAAGGATGAGCAAACCTGTTGGGCTTTTGTTCAAGCAGGTTTGGCCCAACCCTATTGATTTCTAGGGGAGACAAACTAGCTATTTTTCTAGCTTTTGTAAAGGCAAATAGGCAATACATTGTTAAAAAAAAGGGCATGGGTAGCTGGGCACTGCAATGGGTGATGTATACTGATGAAAAAAAAATTAAAAACACAGTCCAGCGGGGAGAGGATAATTTTATGAAACCTAAAAGGCAACATTGCAAATACACACATCCTTTAAATAGCATACTTGGGGATGCCTTAAAGATGCCTTTGCTGCTCCTGGTACAATGGAGTACTTTCAAAGTGACAGAACAAAAAAGGGAAAAAGCAGGCATGCAGCCTGTGTGGCCAAAACGGGGAGGGCAGTGAGTGTGTGCCCCCTCCCCGCCACATGCCTCTTAACATTGG